TGTGCTCCGCGTCTTTCGGTGATCCCCAAGTTCGACCAGAGAGCTTCCCGAGGAAGGTCGGCAAGCGTTGGCAAGTTGGGACCTTCTTCAAGTCTCCCTCCACGTTGTGCAAGAAGGAGCCGAGGGCGCCAAAATAGCCTTCATGCTGCAAGAAGAGCGCTTGCAACTGCTTTCCCTGTTGCGAAGTGGAACTGACCCGTCGCATGTTCGTAGCTATAACTTGCCTCGCAACTTGGTTTTGCCGGAGGAAGTTTCCGGTGAAGACTATTCTTGTGACTCCGTGGATGCGAGAGTTCAAGAAGGCGATTTGGCAAATGTTTTGTGATACCATTGTAATAAGAGCATGCAGGAGGGCTGCATCATCGTGCAAGTTCTCTCCACGACCGGCTTTGGCAAAGAAAGAAGCAACCAAACTGCCGGGAAGCTTACGGCCTCCCTCAAGCTCGTAGTCACCTCCATAGATATCTTCAACTGTCAGATTCAAAGATGCAGAGTCGCCGTCAACTGCCAGGCAGCTGGCCTCCGAGAAGTCTTTACATTCCGGGCACAGCAGGTTACAGAGGCCCCAGAAGGTGCCTCCGCCCAGGGCGGAGCCGCTGACTCTCTCAAACTTGTCTGTACCATCAACGCGAACGATGCTGACCCCGGAACCGATGTTCACCAAAATGAACGGAAACAAGTGGTTCTTAGAAGAATCGATGAAGTGGCATTCAGACTCAAAGCTTTTGTTTGTCCGAGACTCCTCTTCACCAAGCCAACAAACCTCATCCGAAATTGGCCTCTTCAACAGCCATGAGATGCCTTTGACAACGACACCTAGCTCGTCCACAGGCCTGAGAGTGATTCCCAAACGCTCCGCGAATAGTGCGGCATACTTGTAAGCGCCACCACCAGTTGTAAAAATCTCATCGATATCGTGATGCAGTTCTTGTGCTGCTAGGAGTGAAACAAAGCGTTCCATCTGCTCAGAGCGGAAACACAAAAAGTGGAAATATCCTTGAAGCTCCTCATCATAGAAGGACAGCTCGTTCTCCTGCTCGCCCCAGAACGAACCCTGTCTGCTGAAGCCGTGCTCGTTGCTCCCTGGAGTTTCTGATTTCGTCTTACCCAAACTTTTGATGACTTCGGCGATGCGGCCGTTGCACCAGGATGGTCGAATCTCTGACTCGAAAAACACAAGCTTCGCCAGTGTTCCGCCAATATCCAGGCCTAAGCGGCTGCCCGAATGCCCACCCCAGTCTGCGTCAGCCATTCCACGCTTGGCTCGGGAACTCAAAAGACGTTTGCCCTACTCTGAGCCTTGAACTGCTCCATGACCCAGAACCCGGGCATCTTGGTGCGACACTGTACCAAGCAGGCAAACGGTCGTATGAATCATATTCAAAGGGACCTCCTCAGCTCTTTGAACAGTTCATGTGGTATCACATGAAAACAGTGGTCGGGCACCGCTGCAGTCATGCAGCGCGCGAACTTGCACTCTCCGATGCAAACTCGCCTCGGAGAAGACGATCTCATGCCATCCAAGGCAGGAAACCTGTCGTTCTGTCGGATTGAACGACGCAAGACAGCAAGAGTCAAGACCTGCACGAATGAGAAAGGAAGCTCGAAAACCGTTCGCACAAGCCCTGATAAGTACTGTGATGGACTCCGTTTGTGCACCTCATCAGGGGACAGGCTTTCTGCCTCCAACCCGACATCCGCCCGGACATTGCCCACGACAGTCGTATGACAGTGTCACACATCTCCAGCAGTCGCAGAACACTTCGAAGAGTCGTCGGTCTATGGGGTCATCTTCTATCAAGCAGACAGGACCGATTGAAAAAACATCCGAGAAAGGTCGTCCTGTCATGAAAGAACAAGGGACTAAAGCAAGGAATGCGACTTCGAAAGGATTGGAGCACACATGCACATGCCGCTGATGCTCAATGTCACACACGAACACGGCAGCGTGCGTTCCGCGACTACGACAAAAAGAAACCCTCAGTGCGGGCACCGTTCGTCACATGTCTTGCGAGCTGTCATGCTGGAACCTGATCCTGTCTGTGTAGTATGCTGCGCGCAGAAGCAGAAGCAACTGAGAACCCTGCTTTTTAGGACCATCATCCCTTTCCTCCACCTCGATCACGCGAGCCGCGAGCTGACGAGTAGTTCGCAACGATTCACAGCGGAATCGCTCAGCCTGGAGATCCGGCAGCGGCGGAGGCCTCTGCTGCATAGAGCCACAAGGATTTGGATTCGAGTCGAAAGGGCAGAGACCCTTATTTTCGTGCCGAGTCACTTCATGTCATCAATGCTGACATCATCTTCGGCCATTGGAACGAGCCTTGTCGCTCAGTGCCAGTCCACTTGATGACGGCTATATGTAGCCAAGGAGGAGGCACGACACCATCCAAGTCATCCAGTTGGGTGGCTCGCAATCCTCTTCATTCGCTCATGGGCTTCTCTGCCGTCACGCTTTTGGCTGAAACCTGTGCTGGAGCGTTGAGAAGGGCGTGGCTTGCAGCCTCGGCTTTGCTTGAACCGCTTTCTGAATGCAAGTCTACGGCAGCTGCTGGCATGTCTACTGCAAGCGACTTCCCACGGCTTAAGCTCAGCGAGGAGCTCTGTCCAAGCCATGCCTCACAGGGATGATGCACAAGCCCGCAACCTTCGAAAGGGAGCCTCCGTTAAGATCGTGACAGTGAAACCACGACCATGTGAAGCGAAAGCCCTGACAAGACGAGCCAAGCGTGCTGCAGGGACTGCGATTAATTCACCATCTGCCATGTTTGCAAAACATGGCTGGTTGACAGAAATATGCCAACTATAAACATCCTGGCAGGGCAGTTGCATGCGACCGAATGTCATTGTGCGATGGAGCCCAGTTTGGCTTAAACAGCCTTCTCGGTGCCGTTGACCTGCACGGTCTTGGCCGCTCCTTCGGGTGCCGGCACATCACCAGGCACAAGCAGGGGACACAGAACCAAGCTTGATGTTCGAAAAAGGAACGAACATGCGTGTTGTGAGTCATCATTTTTGCCGATGTTGGGGGCTCTTCACCACAACAACAACAAACATTGCTCGAAACTTGCTACTGCTACTATCCTCGGGCAGGAAAAAACCACCACGTATCAAACTCATGACACGACCGGTTGCGTTTAGCAGTTACATGTTTACTGCCTAAAGTCTATATGGAACTTCCGTGACTTCTTGGTCTAGTTCCGTGAAGCTTTGTTGGACCTTGTCCTTGACAATTGGCAAACGGCAAACATGAAGTCCTTTCTGTCCTGGCTGAAGTTTACAATCCTTGTTGGCATCACTTGTTCGTAGCTTCGGGACCATTCCCATGTGTTGAAACTTTTCGACCCTGGCATGAGTTTGGCAAGGTCAGGGCGAGATTTTCGCGCAAGTTCGATGTCCTCCTGCGGCTGCCGGACAATAGCAGGTCAACCGCAATGAAATGGAACTCTTCACTTCTTCGGAAGGTTTTAGACACTCTCCGTTACCGAAATTTCAATAGGATGTACAAAGTACAGTAGCGGCTAAATTCAAAAAAAACTGGCTGCGACGAGATTGAACCGAGTAACGGGGGAGTGAGCCGGTCTAAGGGGACCACTTACCGGGGAGTTCTAGCTAGCCCTTCCCGACGAGTGCAATTGCCACAATCACAAAAGATCACAAAGCATTCACAGAGCGGCAAGCAAAGCGCAGTAAGCAAAACGCAAGTTAGTCCACACAAATCATGATGTTGCGACAAACTCATGCAAGGTCCTGGTCCATCCAGAAGACAGCACGACTCGCCATCTTGCAGAAGCTCGCTGAAACAACAACCGCCTGTTGAAAGCTCAGCTGGAGGCCGGACCAGTCCACAGCAGCACTCACTGTGCCCAAGGATTCAAGCTCAATCGGCGAGTCTTAAAATGTTGCAAACGGTTTGTTGTGGCATCCTCTGCGGTATCTTGAAAGCACCGTTTCTGCGCTTTGCTTTTGCACGGGATCGATGCCTTGGCTTCCGCATCTGCCAAGTTTGTTTGCTGGTCCAGCGGCATGTTGAGTCGCTACACCGCCAGGGAACGCGGCTAGTTGTCTGTCATGCATAGGACCGCATGAATGCTGAGCCAGAATGCGGGGCAACGATCATCTTCACGGAGTTCTTTACAGCGGGAAACCCGATGCTCATGGCTCCCATGGCTCTGCCTTCCCCGACTACTGCCCTCCGCCAGCGGCAAAAACTACCCGACAAACATGCGACGCTTCATTCTCAGAAGACATCCGGGAAGCACTCTGATACCAGGTGCACCGAGAAGCTAAACTGGCATAGGTGCTCGCCAACATATGTTCAACAAGAGAGTTCAAGATTTGTGGTTCAGTGGTTCAACGCAACTCGGAGAACTCTGTGTGCGACATGAGTTGCAAATCTTGCATAATCTTGCGTAGCAGCATCTCAGCATGGGCACATTCCTTTGAGAGGGCCTGGATGGGACAAGCACAGACCGTCCTATGGAAGCTGGAATTACAGGAGGGCAACTCCCCGACACAATCAAGAGCCGTACACTGTACAGGTGCTCGACGCATTCTGACAGTCAGCCCGAGCTGTTGGTGCCCAAATCTGGCTATGCGTCACATGTTGTCTATCGTCGTCTCAGTCTGTTTTCTTCTTGGGCCGCTTCATCTCTCTGTCTTTACTGCAACTCCATGACAATCCAGTGCAGTGAATGCTGGCTGGCTTTGGCTGCTGATTCTGCGACGGCAAGTTCTGAGGATTTCTGAGGCAAACGACCCAAGTCATGCTGGGCACCACCGTCTTCGAACTTGAAGGGCTTCTTTCCGGCACTCGGCATTCTGCATGCATGCATGTCGGTGGGCCGTGCCATTAAGCCATGGCCAGTAACGAATTGCAGGCCTGCTGCTGAATTGCGAGCTTGATTACGAGTGTTTAAGAGCAGGAATACTTGAGGGCAGTCTCAGACGAGGATACCCTCAGCACGGTACCCGGACCCGTTGCTGCGCTGTAGCAAATGTCAGTCCAGGGTGCGCCTCATTGACATCAACTAAGAAGAGATCGCAAAGGTGATGACAATGGTCTGCTGAGTCTGTCTAGCAGAAAGACCGGCTCGGCCGCGAACGGCTTTGGGACCTCATGTGTACATGTGCCTACAGATGCCCAGACATGCGACGGATCGAGCGCCGAAGGGTTCCGAGACAGCCGCCTCAGCAGCAGCCACCTCCGGGTTCCATACCCCGGTCGGTGACTACGTCTACTTCATAAGGTCAAAACGACCGATCTCAGTTCATGACAACTCGTGTTGACAGTCACCAACAATCACTTCATAATCAAACACCGGGCGAACTTCTCGCAGTCCATGCCTTGAGAGCTGCTCCCAGGCTTTGGACCGCACCCTTGCCTTTCCACAAGTCATAGGTGTGCTCAGAAACGGACGTCAAACCAAAGCAGCAGATACAGGGACACAGAGTGTGGGCATGCAGGCAGGGAAGCCTCCACCTTTGCCCTTGCCCTGTGCGCCGCACGAGTGTATCAGGTGTCAAACCACAACTGCCCGACCCACTTCGTTCAGCTTTGGCTCGATGCCTTCTCGTGTCTTGGGAAAGCAGGAACGGCAGGCGCGGACGGCGCAGACTTCGGTGTCGCCTCGCGGGAACACTTTCGCAAAGGAAGGCCACCGTTTGCCACGCATGTTCCGGGCCTGCGACAAGCTCTTTGGCCGACCCCGACCCCTCCTGGCAGAAAAAGCAGAGGACGACACTCCTTGTTCGCAAGTCCGCAACACCTCCTCTGTTTCTGGCAAGAAGCACAGAACCAATCCTCACAAGGATAAGTAAGCCGTCGCGGAGCAAGCAGAACATCGGTTAGATGAAGGCATCCCGGTCTTCGACATGAGATGAGACCGGCACCCCTTCAGGCACTGCCTTCAGCGGCGGATTGCAACAACCTGGGCTGCGCACGTTGTCTCCCTCATTCTTGTGTCGCAAGGGTTAAGCTCTTCGTGGGGTGGACAGAAACTTGGCTTGCCAGGTCAGGGAGTTCACATTATAATACCACGTGGATGCCACGGCTGCACCTTCCGCCCTAGTCAATCAAAGGATTTTCTGCATGTGGCGCAGAATGGAGCAAAGAACACAGCGAAACATTCGAACGACCTCCGTGTCTTCGACTGAGGATGCATCCCAAGTGAGTGCATTGTTCGCAGCCAGGCAGTCCCCCGTCGCACCTTGAGTAACATGACACCTCTGAGCCGTGGCTAAACAATGTGAAGAGGAAGACTCGATTCCAATTGAACGCTTGCGGACTTCACAAATGAATGAATGAATGAATGAATGAATGAATGAATGAATGAATGAATGAATGACCCCCAAGGCTACCACAGAAGCAGCGTTTCCTCGGCCAACAAGTCTGTTAAATTGCACATGCCTCAAACTTGCTTCTGCGCTGGCATGTTTTAGTTCCGGTCTGGATGATCCGACAGTCCGCAAACTGAACACTTGAGCCTGCCAATGACGGCAGCAGAGCAAGTACCACGGCTCGGGCACTCTCGGGTCGCCTCTTTGGCTGCGGAAGGTCTGGCACCGCCTGCAAACTGAAAGCCAAGAACTCCAGTCAGGCTCGCACAGACATCTGAGTGCCGAAAAACTTCTTGTCCAAGGGGGGGGGGGGGGGGCAGGCACTCTTATGCGAAGCTGTGTGGGGCAGCTCTTTTTTTTCTGCAACGGTGTTCGGGAATCGACGGCCTTCGGCGAATAACTATGCAGGACGCGTAAAGGCCAGTATCATGAGTATCGCGGGACTTCGTTTCTCCAATTCCCCCTCCTCGGAGCTTTCGTGATCAAAGATCAAAGATGACAGTGGAAGCTTGGTACACGAAGAAGCGGCACATGCTTGCCATGTAGCAAACCTGGACGCAAGAGAAAATCAAAGATGCGTGCGCCTCTAACCCGGTGAGGGACAAGGCAGACACCGCCACAGAGATCCGGATTGCAAGGGCGCCCCCAGGGACGACAACTATGTCACATCAATATCGAGTCAGAACTCTCCATCATCCGGACCGAAAGCCATCAAAAGGACATCGACGACTGCCTCTACTGTGCTAGCCTCAACCTGGACGGGACCGTCGTCTGTGACGATGCGGCCAGACCAGGTCGGCAAAATCGTGTCGCTTGCAGCTATGGCAATGATTAGTGAAATCGGCCTCCTGTCTGGTGCTATGTCGACCTTTGTTCGGCTCCTTCGCAGCAGGCAGCGAAGACTGCGCGGCCAAACAACTGTGCCAGAAATGGTAGAAAGTCCTTGGCAGAGTGCCGTGTGTCTTCTGTACCCTTCGCACCGGTTGAAGTCGTCGGAGCTTGTGGCTTGTCCTTCACTCAACACACATAGCACAGACCCAAGATTTCAGTTTGGGCCACCTAAGCGCCTCCGCAGTCGGGCGCGTGTCAGCTCTCGCTCTCGGAGTGGGCGCAGGCGGCGCAGGCGCGGGAGGCGCAGGCTCGTCTGGAATTTCCCGCTTGACCTGCGAAAGCAGTGCAGCAAGAGGATTCTTCCTGTCCGGAGGCTTTGTGCCCGGTCGGCCTTTGCAAGGGGTGCTTGCACTGGACGCTGTGCCTCTGGAGCTGCCGGAGCCTGAAACAAGCTCAGAATACAGGTAAACCTTGGTCATCCTTGGTCACTAGCTCTGGCCGGGCAGCATGGGGCGTCTCGCTGGGTTTGGGCTCATCTTCGTCTATCACGACCTTTGGCAGACAAGCTTGAAATCCGCATGTACCCAGAGACGCCACGGAGGGAGCCTGCTGACTTTTCTGATAGCGCTTGCAGGAAGGACACTGTGGGCCGTCTGATGGACCGCATCTGCCTTGGCAACAGCCGACCCGCTTGCAGCAAGCATAAGTGCAGCTCAACTATCCGCTGAGACACTTGTAAGCTTTCACAATTATGGCTTGGCAAAAGCATGCCTCTGCTGTCCTCATGACATTTTGGGTCCACTTTACAAAGCAGAGCTTTGGAAAGGTGAACTCATGGTCTGATCTGAAGAGCTTGCCGCTGGGCATGTAATTACTTCCCGATCAGTTCAGGGTCGGAGGTCAATGTGCTACCCAGCGGGAAGGACTACAAGATAGCCGCAAAACCGTATATAGCAACTCAGGTTCCGCACAGCCTCAGTTCGGCTTCTAGACAGAATGCACCGGAAAGCGCGGGTGGTTGTTGGACGATCGGCACAAGATACCAAATCTAATCAATGAAAGAAAAGCGTGCGTCTTTCGTTCCTCCTTTTTCTTCCCCTTCATTTAATTCAGTGAATTTGGGTTCTTTTCACGCACTAGATTTCTTCACCTCCCAGATACAAAAGACACGTGGTCAACTGAAACTGGAGAATAAAACAAAGATAAGGTACTAAAGTCAATGCAAGCTTTGTCTTCTTTCCATTAGTTAAATTTGGGCACGTGTAAAAGTACCACTTTGAATAAAGTGAAATGGCGAAAGCAGGCGTGCATTCTTTGCCCGTCATGTCGCTTCTTTCACTTATTAAAATGGGGTCTTCTCCTAGACGCTGCGGTTGCATTGGTCTCTAAGCCAGTTAGTAACTCAAGACATTAGGACTCAGCCCAGATCAACTACAAGAACGCCCAAAATAACCTAATTAAATAAAAAGCAAGGTGACGTGCTGATCTGCCTTTTTTTGTACTAAACTTAATCATCAAAATGACACTCAAATCTTAAATTTGACTTGAAGTTACTTTGGTCATGAAGACAGTCGGAGTTGTGTCTCACTGTCTCACCAGATGTCCGATGGCAGGAACTATCTGCATCCGGGTTGGAGGGCAGAAAAGAGCAAAAGGACATGGCACGACACACTGACCGCAGCGCAATCGCTCAGGCCCTTGCCATCCGAATCTGGAATGACCCGGACGCCTGAACCACAACATAGAAGAACTGCTTGAATCTAGAGCTGTGCGGCAAGCACTCGCTCTCTCGCCACATCCTACTAGCCAACAGACAGATCAGGCCGTGATGCGCACGGGATCGGAGATAAGAACAGGGAATCGGTTACACGATGCTGCTTCACACCCCTCAAATCCGATTGCCCCTGCTAGCGATCTTGCCCCCCCCCTCCCGCACCCCCCGGAAGCACACAATGCTAGGCATCTTGGGTTGGATAATAAGGGTACAAGGCTCAATCGACTGGTTGAATTTTGAAACAGGGGCTTCGGCATCGGATTGTCAACGTTGCCGCCGCCAATGCGCCGTTTGACTAATGGGGCTTCGGGGTGTATTCGTTTGTTTCTGGTTGAAAAACGCTTGTCATTGACGGGATGTTCGTCGGCGACAGCAGGAAAAAGCTCCCTTCCCCGGTGAGGGCAACGGAAGCCGGGAGGGGCAGGGGTGCGATCGAAAAGACTCTTGATCTTTGATGCACATGGACGCGAGAAGATACGCTAAAGCCCTTTCTCCAAGGCGCACCGAATACAACAGAATCTGTCAAGGCCGTGTCGATGCATGTCAGAGCATTACAAGCCGCCGCCAAGGGCAACTGAAGAGCAGAAGCATTCCCAGTGCACAGAAAATCATAAGAGTCTTCTTGGCACGCTGCATCCTACGACATCCTACGACATACAGCACGAAGCATCCGCCCCTGCTGACTGACGCCCGTCAAGAGCTGCTGCAGATACAACGGTGGAACACTTTCTCAAAACCTCGAGTGAAATCGCCAATCCGAGTGTCCGACCCAGCACTCGGCCACAGTAGAAAAATCCGGTGTAGCCTTTCAGCGACCGGCCAAGCAAACACTTTTAACCCGTTGATTGACAGGGCTGATTCCAACTTCAGATGTTGGCTTGCTCCTTACGCTGCCTATGCTGAAGACTTTTCAAAGACAGGACATGCAGGGTGTTCAAGTATGATCGGAAATCGTTCCCGGAATGTCGGCGACGGACTTCACAAAACCGTTCATGCCCGAACGGGCTCCGACCTTAGAGCTGTCAAACCTCGGAAACCCTCCAATGTAGCGAGGCTGGAATGCCTGCCTCTCCACTCCTATTCCCAAGCCAAGGCAGGCTATCCATGCCTACATGTGATCCGAGGTAGGAATGTCTGTGTGTGCGTGTGGGTGCGTGGGTGTGGGGGTGTGGGGGTGTGGGGGTGTGGGGGTGTGGGGGTGTGTGGATGTGTAGGTCTGGGCGTGTGCGTGTGCGTGTGCGCGCGTGCGCGCGTGTGCATGTGCATGTGCATGTGCCTGTGAGTGTGCCTGTGCCTGTGCGTGTGGGTGTGCGTGGGCGTGGGCGTGGGCGTGGGCGTGGGCGAGGGCGTGGGCGTGGGCGTGCGTGTGCGTGTGCGT